CTTCAGTGTCACATTATCCTTCAGAAAACAGTCTAATATGCTGATTTGCTGCTCAATAAACACTTATTATTACTATTATTATCAATGCTGAAAACAGTTGTGCGGCTTCATATTGTATGGAAACCATGATGCATTTTTTCAGGATTCTTTAATGAATAGAAAGTTCAGAATAACCGCATTTATTTGAAACAGATCTTTTGTAACATTCTAGATCTCTTTACTGGCACTTTTGAGCATTTTTATGCATCCTTGCTGAATACAAGTATTTCTTTTGATAAAATCTCTTCAATGCTCTTTGTTTCATGGCTTTTAATCATTGGCTGTTTTAGAGATGTTTAGTGGATGTATGGAGTCAGCTCTCCTCAAGTTCACTCGGGTGTCCTATCAGGTGCAGAGAAACACACTAACATCTGACAACCACAAAATGCCTGGTTTTTTATCTTTCGAAGTCACTTTTAGTGAAAAGTTTAGCTTGAAAACTAGCTTGTGCAATACTTTATTCAAATAAACACCACTTGGTATAATATTTAAAGACACTTACACATTATTAACAGTGTGCCTACAGTATTTTCTGTATGTAATGTCGATGTACCGATGAGCTACAAACCTTTGTCTAAAGGGTTTTTCAGATGTACTAGAACCAGGTCCTTGTTCGGAGATGGATACAGGATGAAGTCTGTTTCATAATTCATTCCAGTAACATTTTCTATGTAAAGCTCCACATGCTCCAGTGAAGTGTGTGGATTGAGCCCTTGCAGCAGCAGCTTTCCAGGGTCCTTTGGTGGTTTCCTCCGCACCGTCAGTGTGTTATTCTGGAGCACATGGGTCTTGGAGACAACTCTGACAGCAGCTAGTGTGAGAGAAACAATTTTTTAAAGAGTTTTGCTTATGTATGCTCGCAATATTGTCATTTTTTTATATAATGTATTTTTAATCTATTAAATATATTTACTCTCTGCATCTTCAAAAACCACCAGTGCATGCTTTCCACGTCTCTCCAAAAAGACCACGCTCCCTCCGCCAGAGCGCCGCTTGTTATCAAAGTAGAGAGAGAGAAATTCATCGTCCAAATCATCAGGAACATCCAGAACCTCCACACACCGCTCCTCCAGGCTGCTCTCGGCCATTCTGACAACACAGAAAACACTCATGAAGTATGCAGTCGAGCCGGTTGAGAGAGTAACTGACATTCCTGCCCCGCATACCAGCAAAACCTTGTGCGAGGCTACTGCACTAAAATAAAAACAAATCAATCAAATCAAATGCTCAAACTGTTGTTATTGTTGTGTTTTCCACCCATCTATGGTGCAGTGCGTCTTTTGGGATTGTTTTTGTGGGTTTATATATTACTACAATGCATTTGCTTTTTTTTTTACAAAGCTGATTGATAAATAGACAGATACCAATAGTTAGTAACTGGATGAATAGATGGTAACTGTTGTTATAAATAGAAATCCTGTGTTGTGTAATATACAGATGTTTGATAGAGAGATAGAGAGAGAGATAGAGAGATAGATAGATAGATAGATAGATAGAGAGAGAGAGAGAGAGATAGAGAGATAGATAGATAGATAGATAGATAGATAGATAGAGAGAGAGAGAGAGAGATAGAGAGAGAGAGAGAGAGAGAGAGAGAGAGAGAGATAGAGAGAGAGAGAGAGAGAGAGAGAGAGAGAGAGATAGAGAGAGAGAGAGAGAGAGA